CCCGCAGTCGAAACCATTCAACACGCCTTGATGACTAGCCCCCAAGTTCAGCCTCTCTGGACAGCAGTAGCAGCTCCATGGAAACCCTTTGGGCTGGATTTCTCGTTGACCTACATTCTGGACATTAGTCGAGTAACCCCATCTTCAGTGTGGTCCCATGCCTCCTCTGAGCTCATGGCGCTGTGGACATTTCTGGCTGCGGGCATGCCGACGAGTCTGGCTCTACCGAAACAAGGTGAAATATGTGCGAGCGGGTACGCCTCACATCACCTCAATGACGGAACTTGTGCTCCTCCAGTGGTCAAGACAAGTACGCCGGCTATTGCAACTTCCATCCAATCTGGACGACAAACGCGCCAGATCCCAAGCGATCTTGCGTCGGCTTGGCCAACACCCCAACTATCGCGGTTTCTGGATGAAATATCCCACGCACTTATCGGTCAATGCCGTGACCGCAAAGTTACCATTCAGGTGACTCCCCCATATTGATTACCACATACTGTACAGCAGTGCATCCAATAGGTTGATAGAACTGTAGGGTTAAAAGTCAAATTCACCCAGATGTACAGTGAGATTCGAAGCTACGAGTGTGAACACAGTAGAAGTTGAATCTACCTCCTAGGACCGCTCGGGCATACAGACTTATAATATGGTGGGATAGCTGTATAATACATACACCATTTTCAACGGCACATTCATAGGGCCTCGATGGGCACGCCCCGAAGTACGTGGCAGCACCACGCTGCACATCGCCAGTGTGTGGGCACTGACCCGCCGTCGGGGAGCGCTCACGAGGTCGATGTGGTCGAGGCATACATGTACAGTGATCCCTCAACGTTTGCTTGCTTTTCCAATTATATATTATTCGAGGGACTCATGTGCACAAAAAAACAAATATCAAATTTTACAGGCGACTGGTGAACCGCATCGGTTGAGCAAACGAAAAATTGAATGGCCCGAGGTCAGAGGGAAGACCGCAGTTTGGACCGCAAGAGGTACGATTCCTGTATGGGCCCAGCAATTGCGACGCAACCCCAAGCAGCCACCGACCAATTCATGGCCGTCGGAACGTCGACTGCGTACAAGTTCTTCTGGTCGCTGTCGACATCACTGGTATTGCCTTCAATGACTTCAATGACATGATCCAATTGATGTCGTTTGTAGTGGCGTTTGAACGACGCAATAGTGCCGGCGCCCATCGGCTGCAAGAACGCAGTCGTGTTCGGCGGGAGCATCAAGAGGCGGACGTTGGTAAGGTTGACGTCCAGTGGGTTGTGAGATGATGCGTTGCCTAG